GCCGAGCCAGAGCCACTAGGCGCTTCAACAGTCCTAAGCCTGGCAAGCCCGGGCTTAAGCCCACAGCTTGGGCCGGGCTCAGGCTTAGCTCAGGCTCAGGGCTCAGCTTGGCGTCGCCACAAGCCCAAGCCTGGGCTTTGAGCCCAAGCCGGGCCCACACATCACTAGTCTCCATCAGGGTAGTAGCACGGAGGGAAGTGCTCCTTCTTTGAACCGCGCAGCATGATGGCCTCAGAGTCTGTCTTGCGCTCCATAGGACTGAGCTTGAAGATACGTTCATGGTCTGGCGTGTATTTAATGAGCGATTCCTTAATGTGATTGGTGAAGTAATTCCGCTGTGTGCAACAGGTGACATGCCACTGTAATTATGTTTATGAGCACTTGAGGGTTGTACATAATGACGATGGAGTACTTGCCTCATGGCAAAGATACTGCACCTGACCCATATACAGAAAAAGTGGGCTTCTGCGTCCGACAACTTCAAAGAGCTCTGATGCGTGCACCAACACCTTCGTCCTGTGATCTTTAAACTCTCCCTTGTCCATGTTCCAGTGCACAGGATTCTTGCGGTCGAACGGACTCAGGGGTGATTTGATGTCAAATGCTTCTTGATCAACCCACGGATGATAGCAGAAGAAGGCAATGGCGGCGTATTTGTGTATTGTGCTCTGAAGCTTGATGAGCCCTTTGGGAGCATTCTGGGCAGCTTTAGTTACCTTGCTACATCCCTTTGGGATTGTAGACTTCATCTTAGCAAGCTCGAGCCGCAGACGTTTGATTTCATGCTCCTGCTCATAGCTGCGCAGCTGGAGCTGAGCCACATACTATGTGCGAAGGCCTTTCAGCATGTCGTCAGCGGACATTGAAGATGCCAAGCGTACCTTTTTGTACTCAGGATTGGCCGATGCATTTGCCGATGGAGGTTCGATGGGTATGAACAGCAGATCTTCGGCATCATCAACCTCGGCATCTTCCAGCATGAGGTCATGCACATCGTCGCACTCGATGTCTCCAGAATCCGAGTCCGAGTGGAAGGAAGGTGGAGTCATGATCTAAGTTACAATCAGAGAGTGTTTGATAGCAGATGTAGAGGTAGGTTGACTGAGTCTGGGGGAGTATGGATTACAGAGCTCACATTTATATCTGATCTGTGCATGAAGTCTTGCGTAGCGGGTAAGCATTAGTGATTTTGTTAGGTGGCCTAGTCCCTCCGATGTAAACTCGCATCTCCATACGCGAGGCTATGGTGCACATCAGACCTTGAGAGCGCCCAGCAGTTTGCTTTTAGTGTCAGGTAGCCGCGTTCTGCGATAAATTTACGTAGTTAGAGCTGTCTTTCATATCTAGAACAAAATTGTGTAGCGGGCTACGTACCATTACCTCTGTGATGGCCTCATGCATGACACACAAGTCTGCAAGGCTATACTGTGTCAGGGTAAGATCAATTTGCTGTGATAAATGCCAGCACTAGGCGCATGTTCGGCTACCTAAGGCATTGCTTACCAAGTTGTGTTGGGACTCTATACGATGTGGATTAGTGCGGCACCGCCAGTGGCACCAGTGGGGGTATTGAGGATGTCTAATGCACTCAAGACAGAGCAGACGCCGCACACAGAACACAATCATATCAACCTCCTTGTGTATTTGGACACATACGACTCATCTGTTCCTGTCAGCTCAACGTAAACCTGCATCTCAAGACTCACTTCATCCATGCGTAGTCAGGAATAGCTGCAGCTCAGTTAGCAGATCGACTACAGGTGCAGATTTGGCATCCCGGCTATTGTCTTTGAGCATGCCATGTGCATGATTCATGAGCTTGATCTGCTGGCCTGGGTGTAATATTAGCATGCTCTTATACATCAATGCAGCTACATCAAGCACATTGTGGCCCGATACGCGGCAAACGCACACCCCAAGGAGAACAGCTGTGCCAGGCACGCCCACGCCAAGCATGGCCTTCCGAAGAGCACACACGAATGTGACACCTGTAACAACAATGTGATTGCCTATGCATGCATGCTTAATGCCCAGCAAAGCTGCTATCTGATTGTTTACATTGGCTGTACACCTGTCCGTGCTGTACATAAAGTGCTCCTTGCAACTTCCGTACCAGCGACTCAGATACCCATAGAATAACCGAGAATTGTCTTACCCTCGGACGTGCGCAAGACAGCGCCCTGCCTGATCACGCGAGAGGCCACAGACCTGGCCTTGTCTGTGAGCGTGCGACATGCGGCCTTGCCAGCCTCCGCACATGCAGAGGAGGCAGCTGCGTTAGAGCCCTCGATGATCGCCACTGCACCAGCAGCAGCGCCTGCAGCACCAGAGGCAGTGACGCCCTCGACAATGGTCACACCGCCCATGCCAAGCTCCTGGTAGGTGGAGACATCGCCTTTGACAACCTCCTCTTCATTCTCAGAGTCGCTCTCCTCATCGATGACATCAGCATCCTCGACCTCAATCTCCTCGTGCTCAGCTTCTAGGATGTCGGAGAGAGGTGGCCAGCACTCGCCGTAGTGGTAGACAATGTTGGAGTGCACCTGCTCAAGGACATCTAGGTACTTGCTGGTGAAGAAGTCGACAAGCTTCTGGACAAAGCAGAGCACGTCCTCGTTGGTCTAATCGAAGTCGGCCCACTGGCAAAGCTGGCACATGAAGCAGCAAGCTGAAAGAATTGGTTAATAATCTGCAAAAGCTTGTGGTTGAGAAAGACCCACAATTGAAGTAAAGCCTGCAGTGAGTGACCTTGTCTTGTTCCTCCTTCTCTCAGATGACGTTGATGAGGAGGGCAAGTTTTCAGTTCTGGTGGGTTTGCTTAGCAGCACTATAGTACGAGTAGTTGGGACATGCTAAGAGTATGATTTTGAGACGAACACGTACAGGCTGGGGTCCTTGAAGTTGTAGAAGAGAACCTTGTCGATGACGAAGTAGAGGACGACCTCTTGGTTGCACAAGGCTTTGATTTGAGGCAAACCAAGTTTGATGTGGAAGTGGGTGTTGCTGCTCTCGTCAAGGGACCACTGTTTTGTCGACGCTGAAGTCCTCCACATGCTTGCACTGTGTGTAGTCCGAGAGCTTTACACCAGGTTTTTAACTTGCATTTGTTCGCGACCTGGTCTCCTCGAGCTGGTGATTGAATTTACAATGGATGCCGAGAGAACCGGCGATGACAGTTGTCTCGTTTTGTGTAAGTGTACTGATCTTGTTGGTGCACACAACAGAGGCATTAGCCATCATCTTGCAAGGGCCAAAGACATGGACTGAAATCTCTTCCCTGGTCATACACTTCATTGTGAAAGCGAGTGTGAGCATGACCGCCAGAGAGAAACCTTCAGGCACCGCGGAAAGAGGATGCGCTCGGCGACATTGATTCCTGGGCATACACAATGGCTAAAACATATGCTCATGAGATGCTGCTTTGCCCGATGCAGGTGAAAAGGTGAGACTTACCATTTCTCGAGTCTCTCCTTACTCCACTTCCCTGTCCATGCCTGCTGGTACTGCATCATGCCCCAATGGTGCATCACCAGCTGTTGCATCGCCAGCTGGTGCTGCTTCTCATCTTCGAGCTGTTTGCACTCACTCTTGTACAAGTTGTCCTTATTTTTGATTTGCACCATACGCTTGGCGATCTGAGCCTGGCCCTCGACACAATTGTACACTCCATAGCGACTAAGATGAGAGTGGTAAGTGGTGCTTTATCATTACTGGAGTAGGCTTACTGTTTATCAGACTGTGTCTTCTGGCTGTAGAGTTACTGTCAGCAACAAAAAGACCTACCAACCACAGCGACTTACAAGTTTTCGTGGTCAGGATCCAATCCCAAATCAAGAACGACCATCACTGTGAGCCATCTCACAATCTCACAATTGAGCATCTGCTTCATCTGATCATTGACTGAGATGCTCGTGAGCACCATCTTACCTAACACCAAACAAGGAACACACTGTAATTCTGCCTGAGCTGCTTCAGATGCGGACTCTTGATGATTGGAATCCAAATCTGTGTCTTGTTGTTGCCAGGGACGTTCTTGAACCAGCACACTGCCAAGAAGTCAGATGCAGAAGTGATGGGCCCAATGCCACCTGAGCTGATCTCAAACACGACTGCACTCAAATACCGGTTATACACTAGCAGCCACATCTTATCCACGGGCGGGTTCCAGAGCACGGTCCTGTTCTCGATGCATGTGGCCAATGACAACACCTTGTACGAATTGTCTACCACGCAGATCTCAAGCTTCTTTGTGTCGAAGCCGCCACTGAGGCTCGGCTCCGGCTCAATGCAGATCCTGCCAACAATCTTGAGCGTGCCTGTCTCCCCCTCAGCAGCATCTGCGGAAGTGGCGTGTCCACCTGGCGGAACATGAATGAGAGATTGGTACAGCTGTAGCCTG